TCAAGTCAACAAAAGGAAGCTTGAAATAAAACATTGCAAGACAGAAGTGCAAATAGCTGACATATTCACCAAACCTCTGAAGAAAGTGAGGTTCGAAGAGTTAAATAAAGGAATTAAGATGAGAAGTCTTGATAACAAGAATTAAGGGGGTGTGTTAGTTGGTTAATTCTTGTTATGTAGTTATTTAGACTTTTTAGCATGTATTTGGGCCTGGGCTATTTTGCCTATATAAATGGCCATTGTGTTTGTAATAGTAAGCAACAACATAACAAATAAGTTAGATAGTTAGTTACACATAACAAACTCATCAATTCTCTCTCTCTCTCTCTCTCTCTCTCTCTCTCTCTCTCTCTCTTCTTGTTGTTGTTTTTCACAATATTCATCTTTCTTGAATCCTTTGTTCCAACAAATTACATACTTGTTTTCGTCAAATCAATGGATCCATGGAAAGATTCTTGCTTCCCTGGACATAATACAAAAAGAATGTCTTATAAGTTGGCTTTTATAGTTTCTTTTTGAAAAATGTTGGACTTTATAGTCATAGAATAAAGTTGAAACACGTCTTACTCTCAAAATAGTCAACACCATGAAAACACATCTTCCAAAATATTATGAACACTATATTAAACTATTACTCTTACTTCACTATATTCTATTTAGATGACATATTAATATTCTCTATAAATCAACACATACAACATATGAATCAATTTAATGAGATAACTAAAGATAATGGTTTTGTTCTATCAGAGAAGAAACTTAAAATATTTCAATCTAAAAAGAGATTCTTGGATTTTGATATTTCACAAGGAATGTATACCCTCATTAGTAGGTCTTTAGAATTTATAAGTAAATTTTCAGATAAATTAAAAGATAAAACTCATTTGCACATATTCTTAAATTGTACAAATTATGTGTCTGACTTTATACCCAATTTAAGAACTATGGGTATACCTTTATTTAAGATAATTAGAAAGAATCCTACTATTTAGGATGATTCAATGACCCAAAGTGTCTTGAAATTAAAGCAAATAGTTAAAAATTACTTTGTTTAGGAATACTTTATCCTAAATCCAATGTTATTGTTGAAATTGATGCCCTGTGCCTATGTTTTAGAGGAATACTAAAGCAAATACTTTTGCGTAAGGAGACGGAATAAGTTTTTAGATATTATTTTGGAACTTGGAATCCGACTCAGTTAAATTATAGTACTATCAAAAAAGAGATTTTATCTATTGTTTTATGTATTATATAATTTCAAGATGATTTGTTTTCAAAAACATTTTTATTAAAAAGTGATTGCAAAGCAGCATAAAGTGTTTTACAAAAAGATGTTAACTATTTAGTTTCTTTCAGATGGAAAGTATTACTTTCTTGTTTTGATTTTGAAATCTAACATATTAAAGGAATTAAAAAATCATCAAAGAATTTTTATAGGGAAAACATGAGTAGAAAATCAGTTGACTCAAAGATGATTATGGTCCTTCCATTAAAGTTCAAAAAGACAAAGAAATAATTTTAGGTTCTCTATATTTTATTTTCAAAGGTACCTCTCCTATTACTACTAATACTCTCATGACTTACTAATCCTAGTTATTTAACTCCATTAGCTTTTACCTCAAAAATTATCATCCTATTACCTATCCAGAAAGTTTACCCCTTTTAATTATCCTTCTATACTCCTCTTTTTTCCTTACCAAAATTAACCTTTGTTACCTAAGGTTTGTATATACTAGTATTACTTTTAGATACAATTTAATATCCTCCTAACTCTGTTATTACAAAATGTTTTAAGAATTTTCCCTCCAACATTTTTCTGCATTTCTAAAGATCAGTTTAAGATCGGAAAATTCTACGAATTTATCCTAATAGATTCTGAGTCTATTACTCTTATCCATCAGAAAGATCATAATGATAAATATAAAATTAAATTTTCTAAATTTAAAAGTAATAGGGTATTGTCTCCTTTTAATTGGAATCAGCCTCCATAAGAATTATAATTTTTTTCTAAAACCTTTACTCCATAACAATACTCTTACTTTGATTATATGGACACTTGATCCAATTTCTTGTTGGTTGAACATTTCAACCATACATGGTTTATATAGTTTAATAAGGATATTTCATTTATATTCCTTAATTTATTTATTTAGTGGTTTCAAATTATTGGACCAACTTTAAAAATATTTCCTGATTATGTCTCAAAGGCATTCCACAATTTTACAGAAAAAACTACTTCTCCTTGGTACAAGTCCCTATTATATTTTTGTGCTATTTTTGGAATTATTTGGATTTTATCCTGGATTTTTTCGACTAAACCATAATGGAAAATTTCCTCTTCTACTCAATTAATTAAGAAATTTTCAATTAAATGGTGGTTAAAGTTTAATTCAGATTTACTTTCTCCACCGAGATTAGATTCTTGGTTCAAGACTCATCCAGATCTTTGCAAAGATAAGGCTACTTCTCCATAAGATTCAACTTTCATGTTAGATCACACAAAATTATTGGCCTCTTTATCTGCTACTTCTAGCCATAAGGAATTCTTAAGCAATATTGAAGAAGTTATGCCTACTTTATCTAAAAGTGATAATGCTTCTAGCACCTCTGAAAATGTTAATGGGGATGATTGTTATGAAATCATAGATCTTGGAAAGATAAGATCTTGAAGATCATTAAATTATTTTTAACATAGTATCAATTATTTTGAAGATTACTCTTGTCAATCGGGTTCCCCCTCTGTTGGCCTCAATTATCCTCCACTCAGAATTACTTTTAAAATATTGACTTTACTTTATTAAAGTTGGTGATTTCTTTCAATTATTCGGACCATGTCAGCCTTTATCTTTTGTAAAATTTATGCTTAGTTTAATTTTAATTTCAAGTCCTCTTGGATCCTTACCTATAAAAGGATCATTTGTGTGTTATGTATGGCATTTGAGTTTTGAGTATGAAAACTTGAAATACTTGATTTGTTAAGCCTTTTAAGTATTTGCATAAATAAAATTATGTCTTTTAATATTTTAAACAATACTTCCCCATTTACTTCTACTCTTATTTTTACTATTATTGCCACTATTATGTTTATTGTTACTAGAATTATTACTCTGATTAATGAGAAATCTCACACGCACGCACGCACGCGCGCGCACGCGCGCGCGCACACACACACAACTCAATTGAAAAAAAAGAATAGTAAACAAAGTTACAAATAGAGGCAACAAAATTCACACCCAAACTACATAATCAATACCATAGCTAAAAGGTGAAAATTAAAAAAAAGAACTCGCCCAAAATAAAGCAAGTTAGATCTAAGTCAAAAAAATTACCATATACAAAAAAGCACCCTTTAAAGGAACAACCAAGAACTCTCACCACAAAGGCTTAAAACACTCATCTCTCGATTGACTCAGACAAAAAGTAAGGTTCTCAAATCATACAAAAGAAGCACAAGAGATTCCTATGTGTTTACCAAAATATCATTTCCAAATTAGAAATGTGATTTTATCTTCCACGTCCTTCACACTAGAAGAGAAATTTAAAAAAATGTTACATTATAGAATTTGCAAATCGACTAAACTACATTGAGACAAATCGTAATCAAATCTCCCCTCACCTTAAAATACTTCCTAAAAATCTAAGGATATAAAAAAATGGTTTTTAGATCCTTAGGAAGGATAAATCACCACCCCAACCATTTAAAGATTATATATCAAACAAAATGTTGTTATGTCATGAATAAGAAACAAATAATTAATCGACTATGTCATCCTCATACATATCAGACAAAAAAACTCTCAGGATCTATGATCACCCTACGCCTTAACATATTATCTCTAGTATGAGCCTTTTCTAGAGGAAGTTTCTAGGTGAAAACAACCACTTTAGAGGTGGACTAATTATCCTAGATAAGAGGAAAAACCAAATTCACTAGATTTCCATGCGGAACATGAAACCTATCACTCTCAAGAAGAGCATAGTAAGGTGAGACGAATAAAAAAAATACCATCATCTGTGTGGTCCCACCAACCATCAGAGTCCAAGAAGCGGGTCACATCCAGAATGGTTAATAACAGATTAAAAATCATATTTGCTGTAAAACAAGAGAGATCTCTTCCACTTGAAATCCTAAGACAAATACTCATTTACAAACAACCCAGGAGCAATATATTAAAATAAAAATGAACAATATAAAATACTATGGGACATAAAGTTTGACACGATAAAAAAACAAATTTGAATTCAAAAAGGGATATTCACGCGCCAGGAGCACAATTCAACGAGCCTACACATTCGTGTGAAATTAAATCGCAAAAAATGATATGTGAACCGATGAATACCAAAATCATATTTTAAAATAGGCGAATGAACTCGACTGCAAGAAAATGGATTGAATTAGTCAACCAACAACTTGTTGACAAACTAAAGCATCAAACATGGTCGTTTATATATAAGCAACTTAGACACTGAATTTGATAATGGCGACTAAGAATATAAGTCGTGGTTCAGATGCAGAAGCATCAACATATCCAAAATGGAAGATATAAGCGTTCACGCACCCACTTGCGAACGTCGTCCATTAGCATATTCATTAATAAATTTAAGATAATTTATTCATGACATGACACTAATAAAATATAATTATGTCATTCGAAATAGAAATATAAAAGATGTAACTTTACCTATATGTATATTTTAATTTATTTTATTTTATATTTTAATGAATTTATATTTAAGTTTACTCTCAACAAAAAGAAAACTAAAATATAAATTCATAAATAAAATTAATTGAAATTGAAAATAATAAATTTAGTTATAGATAAAAAAAACAATTTACATGTTTGATATACTAAAGATTGACTTCATATAACTTAATTTTATTAACATGAAACATAATTTATGGAGTAATGTAAATAAAGCCCTCGCCTAATTTTGATAGCAATTGTTGTTTTACAAAAGTTAGAAGAATATATTAATTGTAGGAGAAAGAAGACACTCAAATGGGGAAGGAAATGGAAGGTGGAAAGCGTAACAATGTTGAGCTATTTTTCTTAGCCACTCTCATATTCTGGCTTACCTCCGTTTGTTTCCAGATAGTTCTCACAAACCGAACCCAGCTTCTCTACATCATCGCCGGTTCCTTCTTCTACCAGACTTCTAACTCTCTCATCCGTTTCTTCTCCTCCAATGACCCTCTCTTTGTTAACACCTCAGTTTCCCTTCTTCATTCCATCGTTACCTCTACTTCAGGTTCTCTCTCTCTTTTGCTTCAATTTCATTAGGTTTTGATTTTGTGCAATTTGTTTGAGTTTGGTCAAATTAGGGGTTTGTTTATGTTTTGTGAAGTTTTTGTAACTGAATTTATGGGGGAAATTGGATGGAAAGTGGAAACCTATTTGGATTATTTCTTTTTGTTGATGTCATGTTTTGTTTTGCTGAGATTAGGATAAGGAAATGCTTAGATCGGACTATTTTTTTTTTTTTCGTTTTGCAGTGGTCTTCATCTTGTCCACACAGTGGTTAAATAATGGGTTGAGCGCAATGTTTGATCACTCGCAGTTGGTTGAAGGTACTTGGTCATGGGCATTTGAAGCATTGTCTTTTTCCTGTGGTTACTTTGCATATGATCAATGGGATATGCTTCATTACCGCTTATATAGTGGTTGGATCCCTTCTATTCTTGTGCATCATCTGGTTCTCCTTATTTGCTTCACTCTTGCTTTGTATCGAAATGTCACTATCAACTACCTTATTCTTACTCTTATCTGCGAGGTAAGCGTAAAACCTTCTTCATCTCTTAATGTGCGAATGTATGTGTTGAACTGCTGCATAATGGTTAGTACTAAGGATGACTTCTGTGTGTGTTTGTTGTACAGCTGCATTCCGTCTTTCTACATGTGAGAAAGGTGAGACGAATGGCCGGTATTCGCGATGCAAGAAGCGTCATTATTAAGTTAGAATGGTTTCTTAATTGCACTACCTTTTTTGTGGCAAGGTGCGTGTCCCACATTCTCATCACGGTGAAACTCATCAAAGATGCTCACAAATTTGGAAAGGGTGTGGAGTTACCGCTGGCCCTGTTTGGCATGGCAGGGATGAATTTTCTGAACATTGGTCTTGGCATTGATCTCTTTAAAGCTTTTAAGAGAGAGAGGAAGTCTCAGCAAGCTAATCGACATCAACATCGTGAATGATAGAAGAGAAACAGATGCTGCATATATTAGTATTTTTGTACTGGTACTAGCACAGAAAAAGATTTGTAAAAATGGTTCAATATAACCTTATGTAGCACTTAGACAAGTCCATTATGTATCTCTGCAAATTGTTGCTGCAAAAACAAAGTTTTCCTCCTGCTGTATTTTTACATACTAGATGTAACATACAGATTGATTGAAAAGATTATTCACTTATTACAAGTTGTTTGGGAATTTTGAAGGAATTGTTGTGTTATTATGAAGAAAAATAAATCCTCCAAAAATTTGTCACATATTTTTGATACACCTTGTTCAATTTGAGTTATTTTAATCTTGTTTCAATTAATTGGAAGATAATGGTCACAATATATGGATGTTATGATATGTTAATATAACCCTTAGTCAGAGCAACTAAGAAAATATATGCTGCTATTAAGTACGGCTATATTAATATATATCAACATGGGGTGGTGGCGCAGTTGGCTAGCGCGTAGGTCTCATAGCTGAGAGTAATCCTGAGGTCGAGAGTTCGAGCCTCTCTCACCCCAAACGTTTTTTGTTTGCAAAGTTTTCAATTTTATTCTTATTAATAATTATTTATGATTTTTACCACTTCATGTACAAATAAAATAACACTAAAGAATGTTTGATAAAAAATAGTAAATAAATATAAACTAGCAGTAAATAAGTTATTAGATTGAATTTGAAATATTGGACAAAATTAGTACTTGAACTAAAAGAAAGAACTTAAAAACATTTTAAATTCTTATTGTAATTCTTAAAAAATAACTTTAAAACATTTTAAATTCTTATTGAAAATAAAAATTTGACTTTTACATTATGTCTCGCTATTGCTTAAAACAAATTTCAATACAATTTATGTTAACAAATTTTCATTAATAAAAATAATTTAAGAAAATGTTAATATATATATAAAAGAAAGAACTTAAAAACATTTTAAATTCTTATTGTAATTCTTAAAAAATAACTTTAAAACATTTTAAATTCTTATTGAAAATAAAAATTTGACTTTTACATTATGTCTCGCTATTGCTTAAAACAAATTTCAATACAATTTATGTTAACAAATTTTCATTAATAAAAATAATTTAAGAAAACGTTATATATATATATATATATATATATATATATATATATATATATATATATATATATATATATATATATATATATATATATATATATATATATATATATATATATATATATATATATATATATATATATATATATATATATATATATAATTTAGAGTGAAAATGAGCTCAACTTTGAAAAAAAGACTCATATCTCATGAGTAATCAACGCTGCTCACTACTCATTTTCTCCCTAAAATCTAATTTTTTTCATTGATATTATGTAGCTTAACTACTTAGTAGTGTGTTGAGGTCTCTCTCTAAACCATCTTTGTACTCTTGGGATGTCCGATGTGGTTTCTCTGGAGTTTCTTCGGGTTTTTTCGGAGACGGTTGGTCCTCTGGTTGTCTCCCTTCGTTTTTGTTGTTTTTCGGTTGTCTCCCTCTGGGTTGACCAATTTTGGTTCTTTACTGCTCCGATTTGGTTTCGGCGTCGTTCTCTACGGGCGAATCTTCAGATATGGAGTTGTGGTGTTTCCTTAGTTTTTGGTGTTTTCCGGTTGAGTCCTCACAGGATCATCTGTGGAGGCTCTTTCTCCGATGGATCCTTTGTAGGTTTGTGTATTTGGTGCTGAATTTGTTTCCTAATCTTTTAATTCTCTGCTTGTCTTCAGATTTATTGAGATCTGCAGGTTTTAAGATTTTAGGTTTTCCTCTCTGCGTCGACACTAACTTTTTTATCTGCATCAATCTTCATGATTGATGTGAGATTGGTTTCATATCCGTATCATTCAATTTGATATGGATTGTTGGACTCGAAAGAGTCATTTTGCTTGCTGATTTTTTACCACAGATTGTTGGTTTATGAATCAGAACGTGTTGGCGGTTAATTCATACACCATGCTGAAAAGTGATTGCTCACACTAGACTCTTTCTTTTCCTATTTAGTTTCGCGCCCGTAAGCGGATTCGCCAGATAGTGTTTGTCGTGTGTGTGTTTTTATTTTAGTTATTTCTGATTTATTTGTATACCTTTCGGGTTATTTTTGTGGTTTACTAAGTTTAGTTTATTTCCCCTCAGTCCTGTAATCTCTTTTTATTTTATATATATTTGCCTTTATATAAAAAAATGTTAACAAATTTTGAAAACCACTTCTGCTTATAACTTGAGTCTTTTTTGTGTGTGCATCAATACCCTTTTAGATAATTTAAATCATACTTGACCAATAAGTGAAATTAAAGATTGATCTTTTGATCAAGTTCTAACCACTCAACAATCTATATTGTTAGGTGAAAATTCAATAATTCAAGTGTTATAATCGGTTAACACGGGGGTGTAATCGGTTACAGGTGATGGAAAATCACTTCTAAGATTTGAAAAAGCTATTTTTGTTGTTGTGGTAATCGATTAAGAAAACACGTTAACTGGTTATAGATGTTTGGTATTGTTTTTTGTTGTTTCAGTGATAACCAGTTAACAGATTGTGTTAACCGGTTACGCGCATAAATTTTGACTTTTTCTTGTGTTTTAAGGTTTTGTTTTAGGCCCTAATTGTTGGACATCACTTGTATAAATATTTTGGAGGCAACTTCATCTCAAACTAGTGAATTAATTTTATTATTGATTGTCACCTTTAATTACTCTTTCTCTCTCTCTCTCTAATTATCTTATTCTCTCACTATATTCTTCTCCACAAGCACTAAACTTACATTGATTTACCAATTATGTGATTGTATGTTCTAACATTTTTCATCAAGAGTCTGGTTCTAATCCATAATCTGCCGCGCAAACATGAATATCGTCTCCAATGATAGAGTCCCTATAAATTAGCTCTCCTTTAAGCAAAGAATTACGACAAATAGTGCAAGCAAATGAAGGTGTTGTTTGGATACCAAGATGTTCTTGAAGTGATCAAGAATGAAGTGCAACAGATGCACTAAAGGCGTTCAAGGAAGAAAAGAAGAAAGATTACAAAGCGATATTCTTGATCAATCAATGTCTTGATGGTGACAAATTTGAGAAAGTTGGTGATTGCGGGTCGACAAAAGAAGCGTGGGAAATATTAGAAAATGCATATGTAGGGAATGATAAGGAAAATATGGTGAGGTTACAAACTCACAAACGATAATTTGTATTCACTCAAATGGAGGAAATGGAGACAATCAACCATTATGTGTCGTGAATAACATGGTTTGTGAATCAAATTAAGTATTGTGGAGAAACTGTTACAGAGCAAAATGTTATGTAGAAGATCTTTCATTTTTTACGACAATATTTGACAACATCATAGTGGTGATCGAAGGATGTTTCGACGTTGAGCTTTAAAGCTCTCTTGAGGCTCATGAGCAAAGGATGGATGAGAGGAGTAACGACAAGGCAAAGGAGGAGATTTCTTTGCAAACACGATTCAATGAGAAGAACAAGAAGTCGAAAGGAAATGGCCCATGAAGAGTAAAGGGAATTTTCAAAATTTTGTTGGAAAAGAGTCCCAAAATTCAAAGAGTTCAGCTTGTCAAAGGGGTAAGAGATCCTGTAACTAAAATGGTGGTCAATGCAACTTTATATGTGATAAGAAATTTAACAAGAGTAAGGTATAATGCTTTAAATGTCAAAATCTTGGCCATTTTGCAAGAGATTGTAATGTGAAATAGAGGGAATATCAAAGAGATGAAGCTAAGCTTGTTGTACAATAGGTGGATGATGATGATACGCTCTTGGTCATGATTACACAAGGAAACTGCAACACCAGTTTTGGGAACACTGCAGAAATAATTGAACAAGAAAATGTTATGCTGAATTTGAGAGAAAGAGTCCAATGCAGTAAGGAATGGTGCTTGGATTCTGGTTGTTCCATGCATATGACAAATTGGTTTGTCAAAATCAATCAAGCTACGAAGAATAAAGTAAAATTCGTTGATGATACCACTTTAGCAGCCGACGGGGCCAATGATGTTTTGATCATGAGAATGGATGGTGTAAATTCCTTGATCAAAGATGTATTGTAAATTTATAGAATCAAATGTAACCTAAGTATTGGTAAATTTCTTAAGAAGGGTTACAAGATTCACATGGAATACAAGACTTTGCGCGTTATGTATGTAAATGGGATGTTAGTCTTTAAAGCTCCTATGAATCCCAATAGAAATTTCAAGATTTATTTGAAGGTGATGGAACATATATGTCTTGCTACAGCGGCAAGTCGAGATGAGTGGTTGTGGCACTACCGTCTAGGGCATCTCAATTTTAGAGATCTAAATGTGTTGCAAAGAAGCAGTATGGTAACCGGGTTGCCATCCATCAACATTCCAGCTATGATTTTTGAAGAGTATGTGCAAGGTAAGCAACACATGAGTAAATTCAGAAAGGATGTAGGTTATAGAACCAAGCATCACCTTGAGGTGGTATATTTGGATGTGTGTGGGTTGATACAAGTTGATTCATGTGGTGGCAATAGGTACTTTGTCACTTTTATCGATGATTATAGTAGAAAGCTATGGACATACTTAATCAAGAGAAAAAATGAGGTATTTTAAGTGTTTAAGAAGTTCAAGTCCATGGTTGAGTGGTAAAGTGGTCATAAGCTCAAAGTTCTCAAAACGAATGGTGGGGGCGAGTATGTCTCAAATGACTTTGGGAAGTATTATGATGAATAGGGGATAATGCATGAGGTAGTACCACCCTATACACTACAGAAAATAGTGTTGTCAAGAGGAAAAATTGATCGATTATGAACATGGTGAGAATAATTTTAAAAGGAAAGGACTTTCCAAAGAGTTATGGGGAGAAGCGGTATCCACAACTGCTTATTTGTTGAATATGTGTCCTACAAAGAAGCTTGAAAAGATAACACTAGAAGAAGCATAGTCTGGATTCAAGCTGAATATAAACCATCAGAGAGTTTTC